GTTTTGGCTTAGGCTGTGGTCTCAGGGTTGTGGGATCGAGCCCCGCGTTGGGCTCCATGCTCAGTGCAGAGTCTGCTCGAGATTCTCTCCCTCTACCCCTCACCCCCGCTTGCACTGTCTCTAAAATGACTCCAGCCATGCAGCAGGGATCCCATCGTGCTTCAAGATGGGATTAGATGGTTTGGGTTTCTGAATGCCTCCTTAATCAAGCTGATGAAGTTGGTCCCTAATCTAAATCAGGAAAATACCTGCTTTTAACCACATTTGTCTCAGCGTCTTTGAATTACTTGATATATCCATAATCCAAATCACAGATTGTTCTAGGAGACTGAATGATTCAAAATAGCTTAAATGAGGCACTGGAAGGCAGAAGACTCTATTTGTCCAGTTTATAACAAACCAAAGAGGAACAGGAGTGTCCGGCAGCTCAGAAAGGAGCAGGTAATGACAGATGGGATATAAACGGAAGGGAGGAGACTCCCAGGCAACAGTCTTGTTTTCATGTTTTCATAATGGAGTCTTTTCACAGGATAGTTACATGTTACACACAAACTTTTTGCCCAAGAAAATAGATTGGATTTAGAGAACACTTTTCTTTTCAATAGCTCAAAGAAAACTATTGCATCTAAGACTAGTTATGTTGGAGACTCTTTCTGTGTGAGCCTGACCTCATGCTAACTATTTAAGTGGAGGTCAGAACAGCTTTCAAATTTGTAAGACCATGTTATCCTTATACAATATCTTTCATTTGAGCACTTATTCTCCCAGTACTTCTGTAAGGGTGTAGGTAATTTATGGCTTATTTTATGGGTAGAGAAACTGAAATGGCTAACCATTAACAGGTTGTGTTTTCTCAAAGTTACCCAGTAGGTAATTAGTAGATTTAAGAAAACAATCCAAGACTGTGAATTCCCAGTTTCTTGGCCTTTCCCCCTTAGACCTTTATACCTTAGATCCTAAATGCAATGCCATAAGAATGTAAGAAATGCTGTATTAAGGACCCCAGTAGACTATTGCCTTATTACTGTCACAGGATATTTTGATGGGGAGCTTGATAGGTAAGCTTGTTAGTTACTGTATATGATTTTCTTTCAAATTTAGTACTGCTATAAAGGGAGTCCTTAAAAGCAGGATTCTTGCCCTGGACCCTTAGACAGTAGCACATACAGACTCTTGCCCTGGTACCACAAACACATATTTATTAAGCACCATATGGGTGCTCGGTGCTGGTACAACATAGCCATTATGCCTTTCCTGATGATTAGCACGGGTCCCAGGCCCCACAGAAACACTGTTGCACCTCTCTTGCTCTGTGTCCCTCAGGACAAAAGAACTGACCAAATGTCATCCAGGCTTGTGGGCTGTGCCACTGCTGACATCAGAGATGGAATGTGGAAGGTATAGGTAGCAGAAGCACTTAGGTAGAAAAAAAGACAAAGACAATTTAATTAATTTGTCAAGTCCTTCCTTTCAGATTGCAAAATCAAGTATCACTTCCTAGTAGTGCTGAGCTCCCATTTTCTTCCTCCTCTTTGGGTTCCAGTTGGTGGTTCCAGAGATACTCAGGAGTTAGTGTGGTATTCACCGTAGTTGCAGATGGTAGCTGAGGAACATTGTACAATACGAGACACTTTGATATTACTCTTAAATTGTACATCTAGGGCAGCTGGGTGGCTCAGTCGTTAAGCGTCTGCCTTCGGCTCAGGTCATGATCCCAGGGTCCTGGGATCGAGTTCTGCATCGGACTCCCTGCTCAGTGGGAAGCCTGATTCTCCCTCTCCCACTCCCCCTGCTTGTGTTCCCTGTCTCGTTCTCTCTCTGTCAAATAAATAAATAAAATCTAAAAAAAAAAAAAAAAAAGGTACATCTAGAGGGCTCAATATACCACTTGTGAATTATGATACTGATTCTTTACTTGAACATAAATATTAAAGCATATATAATACAAACCTCGAGTCATACAGTAGACCCCATAAATACTATATGTAGACCTGTTCACAGGTTATTATTACCTTACCATGGAGCCTTGGGCAGGTCGTAACTTCTCTGAGTTTCTGTTTCCTCATTTGTAAAAGAAAAGTGTTGGACTAGATGCTCTCTAAAGTCTCTTTCAACTCTAAAAATTGTTTTTTAAAATTATTCTGCCTATTTATAAATATATATGCTTCTAACAAAACTTGAACAGCCTTATAAAAAACCTACTATAAACTTTATATGACCTGCTATAACCCTCACAAAGCTTGTATAAAAATCTAAGCCCTTCTTCTTGCTCATTTTGTCTTTCCAGCCTCATTCATTCATTCATTCATCAGGCATTTATAGGGTACCAAATATAGGACAGATATGGTGCTATACTTTGAGTGAGAACACAGCAACAACTAAGTCACAGTTGATGTGTTCAAGCATCTCACAGGCCAGAAGACACATAATGAGACTAGTAGCCTGCAATCAAGTCCATATAGTGAGGGCTGGGCCTGCAGAAGGAGGCAGCCCACAGAGCGGTGGGTCCCTTCTCTGCCCTGAGGGCTGAGAAGGATCTTTGGAGGAGGTAGGGTGTGAGTTGAATCTTAATGAATGAACAGTAGTCATGCCAGCCCAGAGAATGGGAAGAACACCTCAGGCAGAGAGGACAGCAGACAAGGCACAAGGGCCAGAGAGAACGTGGAGTGTGAGGAGGGCAAACGTGTTGGTAGAGCGTCCTGTGCGGGGCATGGCCATGTGGGGCAGAGCCTGCAGCAGCAGGAAAGTGCTGGGAGTCTTAGAGAGACTTTATTCTGTAGGTGATAGAAAAATTTCAAAAGATTAGAAATAGGGGAATGACATAATAGATTTAGGTGATAGATGGATCACATTTTAACAGTGGTCTGGAGGAAAAATGAATTAGTGGAGGCCAGATTAAAATCAGAGGAACAAGCTGGGGGCTGCAGACATAATCCAGGTGAGAAATTCTCAAGGCCTGGGTGGGACAATGATGGTACAAATGGACAAGTGGGGGGGCAGGATTGACATCATATTTTGGAGAAGGATGTGGGTCTATTTAGGTAACAACCAAGTCCCTGCCTACATCGGTCCATTTGAGTCTCCCAATCTGAACAGCAGCAGGAAGATGTTACCTGCTCCACATTCTCAGATTTGCATCTTTAAAGTTGTACTTGCCACTTATTTCACATTAGGGAAGTTGAAAGAGGGACATGGACTCCCTGCATTCCAAGAGGCTCATGCATTGGTCATCGTCAACTTTTAGAAGCTGTGAGCAAAACACGTCCAGTCTCAGTTGGTCATCCTTTATTCATGCTAAAAGTGCTTTTGTGGAGGGGAAGTTAGCACTATTGAACAGGACTCATGTCATTCACCACATTGGTTTCCAGTTTTCAACAGAGAGAGCCTGTTCACAGCCAGGGACAGCAAGCAGTCCATTCAATTTAGGCATCTGCAACTCTCTGTGCAAATGAGTCAGAAGCAGAAGGTTGGTTTTTCCTTATGAAAGGCAGATGCCTTTAAAACTCAGGGGGCAGATTCTGAGGACAGCAAATGGGATGAGATTGTCCCCCAATTCCCTGGAAACCACCGAAGGTGGTTGATAAGATTTGACCAGCCCAGGGAACCAGCAGTTGCCCTGGGGAAGCTCCAGAGGGAAGTAAGGCTCTGGTCCCAGCTAGGGCTCTGAAGTCCAAATGGCATTTACAGGGCTCTGTGATTTACACAGATTTATATAAGATTGAAGGCACTTTATGAAATCTGCTCCTACAATTACATTTCCTAAGAATTACTAGGGATTAGAATGTCACTATTCTCAAACACTCTGCCACATAGTTGTCTGTAAACAGTTTATACAGAAATAAAGGAGGGGGAATGATCAGTTGCCAGTGTATGTGAGCTTTTCCGTACAGAGGCTCACTAAGGCCAATTCCTTCTGATTTATGTACCAACTGCCTGTAACCAGCTGGACAACAGTCATCCTGACTCCTTACCACTTTTAGAACGTTTTAAAAGTAAGCCCTAATAAAAGGCTTCCTTTCTATTATCCCTGTCCTTTGGGATGAGGAAAATTCCCCACAGAAATTGTACACATTTTGCGAAAGCCGTAAATTCTGGCGGTGACATTTTAATGTCCCAAAGCCAGTGCATAATAAATGTCTCCTGTTATAAGTTAGAGCCTTTCTGGGATGTGTTGACCTTTGAAGTCTCTCCAATAGATAAGCTTCTCTCTTATTCAAGGCTATCATCCATTTGTTTTAACTTCTATTAACCATAAAATTACGGTTAAAATTCTTCTGAAATAGAGGAATTATTTGGCTTTTTTTTATAGCTGAGATGATGCTCAACTTTGATGAAAGAATCACTTTATTTTTGTAGCACTGAAGAATTAAAAATCAAAATCGTATTTGGGGAGGGACATATCACAGAGCGAATATGCTGGAGAAATTGGAATGTGCACAAGAGTTCAAATACACACATTATTTCAGACTGTCACATAGCTATTTCAGCCTACACACACACACACACACACACACACACACACACACATAATTTTGCAACTTACTAAAACAAGATCCACTAAGAATTTTTCTTTTGAGATTCTTTATTAATAATCTTACTGTTTATTCAGAATCCACTTCCTGCTATCAAAGTTGGATATTCTCCCAAAAGGACTGGGTATATTTTACAGATTGCTGGACATGAGGGAAAACTACAGCACAGTCAAGGTCTGCTGGCTTCTTTAGCCTCCTTATTCCCTCTCCAGCGAGGTACACACACCCCCCTACTGACTTGGGAACACCACTTGGGTGGTGGTTCCTCCACCCAGAAATGAGTCTCACTGCAGCCTGGAGCCTGTAAGGAGAAGCCCACATGCAGATCCTGCCTTGGAGTCCATCGAAGAAAATTCCTGTGGGATCTGTTGAGCATTTGGGGCTGAGGGACAGTTTTTCTCTCAGACATTTTTCTGACTGGAGCAGAAGAGCCTCAGGGCTTCCGTGTATGGATCATGTGTCGACAACATGCCAGGTGAAGTCCATCTAGCTAGCAGTGAGCCAGCCAGACCTGGTCTCTTCCCTCTGGAAGTGAGTTCTTGTATCTTCAAGTAAAACAGTGTTTGGTACTAAATTTAAAAATGGAGACACAGAACTCTGTAGTGCAATTCCATTGATGTGAAAACAAATACACAGGAGTAAACAAGTATATATGCATACACTTGTATATGCTTTAAAAACGTTCCAAAGACCAGAGTAATGCTGTGGAATGGAGAGAGAAGAGAAGCGTTTTTATTTTCAATGCCTCTCTCTCTATTCTTGGCTTTTATTCTGTGTACAACAATTTTTTTTAAAGATTTTATTTATTCATTTTGACAGAGAGAGGCAGCGAGAGCAGGAACACAAGCAGGGGGAGTGGGAGAGGGAGAAGCAGGCTTCCCGCGGAGCAGGGAGCCCAATGCGGGCCTCGATCCCAGGACCCTGGGATCATGACCCAAGCCCAAGGCAGACGCTTAACCGACTGAGCCACCCAGGCGCCCCTGTGTACAATAATTTTAAAGAAATTTAGTCTTTGAAACCACATACGGTATCAAGGTATATCTTTATAAACAAACATGGAAAGGTATATTGCTGAAAGGTATAAAAAGCAATTTATAAGTAGCAAGGAAGATTCCATTCTTGTAAAAACTAGAGATAGATAGATAGATAGATAGATAGATAGATAGATAGATGATAGATAGATAATCGGGGGGTAAACAACTGAGGATATAAAACAAATTGGTATGGAAAGTTACCTCCAGGGGATGTGGTGAAGGGAGAGGCCTCTCATTTTCTGTGTTGCATATTTCTGTAACATTTGACTATTTTTCAGTGAGCGTGAATGGACCATCAGAAGAAAATGATTTTTTACATAAAAAATGTGGTATGTTTTATGCCAAACCACTTCAGCTAATCCCTTTTTGTCTCTGTAATAAAAATAACTTAGAGAATATTAGAGCAAAGAGTAGATATTTGAAGCATAAACATTTACCCAGTTACTAGCTTTTCCAAACCCTTATAATTCTCCTTTCCCCTTGCAAGTCCTAAATCAGAAAGGATTTCACAGAACTCTTCAGGCTCGGTTTGGAGCCAGGCCCTCTGTGGGGATGTCGCAGGGAAAGGCCTGAATGAGCTACAGCCCAGCAGCGGAAATTGAGATCCCATGCGGGTCACTCGCCCTTCCTCTGTGCCACCTCTCCACAGCCATCCCACTGGGAAGGGTCCTTAGTCTGAGGGGCAGAAGGCCCCTTTTGTCTTTAGCCCTTCAGCTTGACCTTGGACCCCAAAACCTTTGCTATCTTCTGGGCCTCATGGAGAGGTAGCAAACAGATTCAGTTTTCGTTTTACTTTCGGAGCACTCATTTGAAGGTTTTCATTCTGAATTGGCCTGAGTCCGGGTCTCAGACGCACACACGGTGGCAAGCTCCGGCCTGGTGGAGATGGCCCAGGCAGGTCTGTCTGTACTTTCACTTCCCACCCAGATTCCTGAGTACAGACCAATGGGAGATTGCGTCAGATTCGCCAAGGCAGACCAATTAGACAATCCTGAAATCCCCTTGATGACACAGCAGGCATGAAAGCCTGTTTGTACCCTATCGCATTGTTAAATTTAGATGCAGTCTGGCTATGTTACAGAAGGAGCTCTTGAAAGGAGGCAGAGAATGCAAAGAGATCAGTCCAAGGATACAGAAAACCTGCCTGGGCCAGTTAGTCCCCACTTGTTTTGTAATGCAGACAGAGGAGGAGTTAATTCCAACCTCAGCCAGTTGCAACAGAGCCATTGTTTCCGTGAAGTTACTCTGGAGAAGGAAGTGCCTTCTAGGTGCTGGGAGCTGATGTTGGCCAAGCCCACACAAGATGGAAGCTGGGAAGGGTAACTGGTATCCTGAAAAACAAGAAGTCAGTTATCCAGTGCCGAATTACTGACAAAATCATGTGAGTGCTTATAACAGGGCAAATAACAAGTATATGAATAAAATCAAGTATCGCTAAAGAGACAAAAAGCAATAGCCAATGTATAAAGTGTACCAGGGACATCATTTCTGTTATTAATGAAGTATTTAGAACACACGCATCAGATAGACCTTTTCATTCATGTGAAAAAAAAATCGGACTTTGGGGATATGTTGCAGTCTGTAAACAGTGACATTTTAGATGCCTTATAGTTGATACCAACACCAGCAACATGATCCATTTAAGACTAGTTGGTATTTTGGAAAATGTCATAGATTCGCTTTTCCATGCAAAGAAGCAAAAAAACTATCTGGGCATGTTAACCATTATTTGCTTTTAGCAGAGCTAGTCTTCTCCCGAGCCTTTCCAAATATTTATTTATAGAATAGTCTTTCCACTCCTCTGCACTACGAGGCTTGAAAACTATAATCGAAGATGTACTTAAAGCTTTTCACCTGTTGGCAGCTCGCGGCGCTTCCCCTGATGATGAGTTGATAGATATCTTCTCGAAAGGGTGGAAAGAAGCACAGACAGGGGTAAGGACACACGTGGCCGAGTGGAACACAGGATGGAATTGCGAAAAGCTTCGAACGACATGGAAGTCCAAGAGCCCCAGGAAAAGATTGGTAAGACGAAATGTACGTAAGACTAAAAACAACAGCATCAAAAAAGATACCTCAGTGCTTTGATAAGGATGTCAGTTACGGGGTTCATCTTTTCTACCCAGAAGTCAAGAAGGCACTGAAACTGAGGATTTTGCATTCCAGAACCTATAAATTTACCTCTGATTTAATCTCAGAGGATTGAAGTGACTTCCACAAGCAAGAAAAAAAGTGGAGCCCAAATAGAAGAAGTAAGAGTTGTGTAAGAAGTAAAAAAGTCGTATTAGAATTATCATCATAAATTGGATATAATTGTGTTATTTTGTGTTAATAATATTTCATGTTAATGAAGCATAGCACTTTTATCAATATCTCTTAACTTTTAGTACAACTCTTTTAAGTATCAATCTATCCTGAAGTACAGGTTTTTAGTAATACCCCTTTTTGCATAATTCTGATTGTCATGTATCCTCCAAAGTTCCTAATAAACGTCTGTGTTCCATTTGTAGTTCTGTTGCTTCAGCCACATATCTAAAATGACAAGAAACCAGTGAATGAGTGGAAACAATTTGAAAATGAATTTGCTAGTTTAAAAAAAATGCCATAATTCAAAATATGAGATGAGTCAAAGGGAGGCATTGCCCAGAAAGAAAACACACACACACACACACACACACACAGAAGAGAAAACTGTATCATCAGGCAAGTTCGTTCACTTTCCAACAACAAATGAGTCATTCATCAATCTATATGTCACATATATTACAGAACTTGAATCTAAAATGGTATTTACCTTTCGACAACAACCAGAAAAGCCCCTACGGTCTCGCACTACCTCAGATTTCCCCTAAATTTCTCAACATGCTCAACTTGTCTATTACCCTTCAGAAGAGCTGATCTGAGAAGCTTGAATCGACACAGTAAAACAACCAATTATTTTTCTATTTTGCACAGAGAATAGTCACAGTCACCCTTCATGTCCAAAGCCATTTTTCCTTCTGCTGGGAGCTACTAAACAAACCAGTCAATCCATCAATAACTTTCAAGGAATAATTACTCAAAAGCCCTTGTAGAGCTGAGTATGGACCACGGTGCTACCTAAGACTTTAAAAGAAAGGTTCTAGAAATATGCAACAAATAATAATAACTCACCAGTCACCCCTGGCAAAGACCAGCAGCCTTATATTTGGGGCTGCTGGCTGTTTCTCCTTGGGGGAAGGACTTGTTGATAATTTAAGCTTTCTGTCAGGGCTTTTCCCCCAAGGAATAGAGAGGGGCTTTCTGTCTTCACATGGTTTCTGTGACCTCACACTATCCAGCTTCTGGGTCAAAAAAATCTGGATTTTATGTTATTAAAGTACACAAAAGATGAATAAGTGAGGGGATAGATCAGCTTCATATTTATACATGAAGCAAAATCAGAACATGTCAATATTGGTCAATGCCATGTAATGGATACACTCATATTTGTTATATTAGTTACTGTAAACTTTCTATGTATTTTTTAACTTTTAAAACAAAGTCAAATAAATCAATTAAAGGAGCTTCATGTTTCTACAGAAAAGAACATTCTTTTACTTCATAAATCAACGAAATATATGTCCTGTAAATCAATCAAATCTAATGTTCGTTTCATAAGGAAAAGTTTGCCACAAGTATTCCATTCCTAGAACCAAGGTAGAAGATTTTTTTGTGTAGAGAATGGGCCAAATATTTGCTGTTTGAGATCAGGATATATTAAAGTCTATTTAAAAGTTCATAGAGGGGTGCCTGGCTAGCTCAGTTGGAGGAGCATGAGACTCTTGATCTTGATGTCGTGGGTTCGAGCCCCTCGTTGGATGTATAGATTACTTAAATAAATAACTAAATAAACTTTTTTAAAAAGTTCATAGAGAACATTGTGCAGTAGGATTAAAAACTTAAAAAAAATTATCAACATGAGAAAAGAAAGAAATCTGGATTTTAGTCTAAGTTCTGCTGCTAACTTAAAATTTGAACTCTGACAAATGTCTTAAGTTCACCTGGGTCTCAGTTTTCTTATTTTAAAAGTGGAGATGATGACACCTTTCAAACTAATGCACTTGGCTTTTGTAAGGAAGGGATGTATAAAACTTTCAAAGAACAAAGCGCTGTTTGAATGTTAGTTTCATGAAAAATATAGTACCTTCTTCTGATTTCCTCCTCTCACAAATGCCATTAATAAAAATTATGGTGAGAGTGAGACTGGCATTAAAAGTACATTCCTGGGGCGCCTGGCTGGCTCAGTTGGTTAAGCAACCGCCTTCAGCTCAGGTCATGATCCTCGAGTCCCAGGATCGAGTCCCACATCGGGCTCCCTGCTCGACAGGGAGTCTGCTTCTCCCTCTGACCCTACCCCTTCTTGTGCTCTCTCTCTCTCTCTCAAATAACTAAATAAAAAATAAAATAAAATCTTAAAAAATAAAAGTACATTCCTGATCCACACACTGCCGATTACAGTGCCATGGGCATCTGGGCACTTACTGTGTCTTAGCCGGTGGTCATGACCCACCTTCGTACACAAAGAGTTTCATTCTCTCAAGGCTTGATTCTAGAGTGACTTCCTCTTTCCGTGTTGGAATTTTATTGCACCTGACATCCAGATGGAAAAAGGCAGAATGTTCCAGAAGTGGTTGATAGATCCACTTTAAATTTAATTTAAGCATGTGGTGATTAATGGTCCCTGTGCACATTTTTTCCTAATTTGTAGTCTTTTGAGTTGAAAGTTGCCCTAGCTACATTCCACTAGGTTCCCTTTTACATACAACAAATTCACACTAATCTGGTTTGGTGAGACCCTTTTTCAGTGGGCTTCTCAATCATAGATGTAGTAGAGTATCCTGGTTCCCAGTTGAGTGCAGCAGTTAGTTATAACATCCTGGGAACATAGTCAATTAGCCTGTGATTCATGTTGGAATAATGCATTGCTTTCTAGTAAAAGATTCCTTGGAGTTGTGTCTAGAGTTTAATAGCAGACAACTTTTACAAGAACATTTTGTTGCACAAAAATTCCCTTTATAACTTTCAGAAATTGCGTTTACACAAGAGTGTTTGAATAGCACAGACATTACCGAAGAGTGGCCAAATCCAGTGCAGTCATGTCACATAATTTTCCAACTCTTGAAAAACAATATTCTAAGCTGAGGTTGAGATTCTACCACTCTCCAATGTGGTTTTCTGTTCTGAGGTGGTTTGTTTTCCTCCCTGCCATTCGTCACATTTTATATCCTGGGAATAGAACCACTAACCTCCACGAAGAGAACATTTTTAATGACCTTGGTAGTTCTTGAGATGACTTATGTCTCATGACTAAGAACAGACTTAAAAATGTAGGCACTGTGGACTAGATTTCTGGGCCTTCCTCAAGGTGCTGAGAAAGTTTAGGCAAATCATTTGCTTGTACTCATGCCTGTAAATGTTCTCATCTGTAAAGTGGGAGAAAAGTACTGATCTACAGCACAGGGCTATTCTCTAACTGCAGGGGGGAATGTTTATCAGTAGAAAGTACTACCAGATTATTAAGTCAAAATATTTGATCCTAGCATTTTGAAACTTTCATTTAGAAGGAAATCTTTATTTAAAATGGGAAAAATATGTCATTTTAAAATTCATAAAAGGAAAAGCAAGCTTTTTGATTGTACGAATGTAACCAATAACTCCATCAGGATTAGGAATCAATCTACCTGTAGAACATGGCAGACTTTGGAGACATGTCCAAGATTCTTTGTACCGCTCATCATTAACACTGTCTCAAGAGCACACAGATAATTCTGGTGATGTTTGGTACCTATAAAACTAGGAATGTGGAGGTTTGGGGGCTTTGCCATAGTAGATGATACCCAGTGCAGGAAATAGAACCAAGACCATTTCCAATTCCATCGGTTCCAATAGAACCAATTCCATTTTCCTGTGTCCTAGGCTTGTATGGGTATTTCCTATCAGGTCTCCAAAAAGCATATTCTATAGATCTGGAAAAGAAAGTGTGGCTATTTCCTGAGACACACTTAATATGCCCCAACTCCATCACCACACCAAGTCACCACTCAAGGTGGTTGAATTTCTATAGTGTGATATATAATGTGGAATCTTTGTATCCTATGTTGCATCAAATATTAATACTTTAGAAGCAGTCAGTGTACAAGAGGCAGGCAAAGCTTCTGCCCAAAAGAGACAGATCTGATAGAAGATGTAAGACCTGGATTCTTCCCCGACTCTCCTCCTTCCTAAGGCTGGGTTCGGCACCTTTCCTCTGCTCCTCTCCCTCATTGCACTTCCTGCACTGCATGGTAGTTTTGTGGATGGGTATCTGTTTTCTTTACTAAACCAAACCAGCACTCAATAGATGTACAAAAACTGGACAGTCTCCTTTTCTCTTCTTTTGCCCTTTTCTTTCATTAATTTCATCCATTCTTTTATCCCACAAATATTTTAAGCTCCTAGTATGTGCCAGTCACCCAAATGCATTATCTTGCTTAATCTTTACAGCTCCACTGTCATTCCCACTTTAAAGATAAAGAAATAAGAAATTAAGCCACTTGCCCAAGTTCAGTGAAAGAAATTTGAAAAAAAAAAGGAAGAAACCAGGACTTAAAATTCGATCTCTCTGGCATCCCAGTCAATGCCTTTTCTCCTCCATCGTACTGTCTCGCAGGCCGAGGCTGTTATATCGAGAACGATAGAAATGATGGGAAGAATACTTAAGGAAGAGTATGTACGGGCTCTTTATGTGGGAGAAGCTGGATGACAATTTGAGATACTCTGGAAGCTTTAGGCACAGAAGGTGACTGACAAACACTGAGTGATGTTTAATACAGCACGTCCTAGTGTATTTTGTAAAACTTGAAATAACACTAGAGCAGGTCAGTTCTGTAAAGTGGAGGTCACCAGAGGAAGAGTGAAAGAATACAGTGTAGGGGCCCCTAGGAGAGAGGAGAGTGCAGAGCCTGGGGAGGGGGCTGCAGTCAGGGCTGGAAACCAGGACCCAGTTTCAGGGAAAAGATTTTGAA